AAAAAAAAAAAAAAAAGTCAACTTTTCGGTCAACCAATAATTTCCGGTCGACCGAAAGTTGGTCAACTGAAAATCTAACGGCTTGATTTCCAACGGCTATATTTGGTCCACCAAAAATTTTTGGTCGACCGAAAGTTTCTGCTGCCTCTTCTTTTGCTCTATAAATACTTATTTCTTTTCCATTCAACTTCAAGATTTTACAAGAGCAATTTAGAGAGTATATTTATTGAAATCAATGAGTTTACTTGATTATAAATCCTATTTCATTTATTACGAAAAATTTCTTGATTGATTAAATTAATTTTCATCTATCTCATCAAGAATTCTTTTTGCAAATAAACTTTCACAATCTCATCTTTTCTTCATTCTTGATAGAAGTTCTTTACCAACACTTTTATTAAAATGTAAATCTCTCTTCATACTTAACTTATATTATTTGTTAAAAGAGATTATAGGTTGAAAATTTTGATACAAAAAATCTCTTGATTGATCAAAACTAATTTCATCTATTTCATCAAGAATTTTATTTTACAAAGAAACTTCTCAATATCATCTCTTTCAATTCTTGATAAATGTTTTCTTTGCCTACACTTGTATTGAAGTGTAAATCTCTTTTCATACTTAACTTGTATTATTTGTTAAGAGAGATTATAGGTTGAAAACTTTGATACAAGATACAAACTATTTCATTATCCATCATTCATCAAAGTTTACAACAAAAATACTTGAGTTTTATTATTTGCTATCTATTGAAGGTGTTTACCTAACTCTCCAATACTTAACTTGATTATATCATTGGTTAAGAGAGTTTCTTCAATTGTAAAATTATCACTTACATTTTGACGATTTCGAGAGTCTTGTGAAAACTCGATTGTAAGGATATGTGCTCTTTGTTGTAAGTCATCTAAGGATAAGTGTTCATTGTTGTAAGTCACTTAAAGATAGATGCTCCTTGTTGTAAGTCACCTAAGGATAAGTGCTCCTTGTTGTAAGTCATTTAAGGATTGGTACTCCTTGTTGTAAGCTACCATTATAGTGCATTTGGCCTTACTCGTGACGGAGAACTTGGTAACGGAGACGTAAAACACATTGTGTATCGAACCCCATTAAATTGGTTTGTTATCTTTACATTATCGTACTTTACTTTACATTGCAATTTATATTGTGCTATATTCATACTTGAATTAAGTTATCAAACTTGCATATTTAATTCTAGTATTATACTTTACATTCATATCTTGTGTATTGTATTGTTTTGAGACTAAGTGTCGAAAAAGTTTCAAAAACCAATTCACCACTCTCTTGATTAGTTATTCTTAGGCTAACAATATAGAAATTATAGGACATACCAAAATGCCTTTGATTTTTGACATGAGATTTATTTCGATCAATCTTCAAATCCTCTAAATTTCATTGCACAACATTTATATGGAAATTATAGGACGTACCAAACCATCACTCCATTTTATTTATGCACTGCGTGAACATATATTAGTAGCACAATAAAAATGAAAGAGCCACAGCCTTTGGATGTTTGGTGACGCGCGCACAAGGCACAAGCATTCATTTTGCTTTGAGAAGTCAAGAAATTTTGTCCATGTTTGACAACCGTACTTTTGAAAAAAATAGAGTTTTGAATACTAATTTTTGGAAGAATGTATGACTAAAAAGTAGGAAATTTTTTAAATTTACGTGCAGAATATTTTATTGTGTAAATGTGTAATAAAAAATGAATATGTATAAAAAAGAATTTTAAAAGTATGGTTGTCAATCATGGGCTACTACTACTTACCAACCCATTACATTGTTGACCTATGGTTGATGAAAATCTTTAAGCTTTGATTATAACAAACAAATTAATCTTGTTTACTAATAATTGAATTTAAAGTAATTATAATCTTCAAAGCTTCCAATAATAAATTGATCGATCATCGTCAAAAGATCTTAAAAGACAAACGTCAAAGAAAGATCAAAATTAAGAGTTTAAAAGCAAAAACGTTAATGAAAGATTAAGACAAGAGCCTAAGAGCCAAATTTCAAAACAAGATAAAATACTAGATTTCTTAGTTCAAATGCAAATGTCCTAATTCAAAATCTTGAACAATGAATGATAAAAGTTCAAAAATCACTTTATACACTAAAAGCTATTTTTGATTATCACTTGTATAAAATGTTTTGATCAAAAGTAAAATTGATTTTCAAAATAGTGTTTGAACTTGGATCATATTTTAAAAATATCATTTACCTTGAAAACTAGTTAAAAACACCTTTCAAAAGTTTAAATTTGTTAAAATACTCAAATCGGATCAAATGGGGTCAGAAATGGAAAAATCGACGAAAATGGTCAAACGTTCGGTCTGAGCATGCGGACATCCGGTTGGTCATCCGGATTCCCAAAAAGTTTTGCAAAAGTTTTCATTATAAATTCGTGAAAGGCGGATGTCTGGTTTGTTCATGCGAATGTCCGGTTGATTCAACAATCGAATTTTAACTGTTAGATTTCATATGCATAACGACTATTTTGGTCGTCCGGATCCAAAGGCGGATGTTCGGTTGGTTGTCCGATTCGACAGAGTATTTTACATTTTGAACTCTATAAATACCCACATTATTTTCTATTCCACAAGTGTTTCAAAAGTATTGAGTGTGATATATTTTAAAAGAATTCTTCATGCCTACATTGCATTAATTTCATTTATTTATTCATATTAAAAATTTTGATTGATCCAAATTCTTTCATCATCTTCATCAAAATTTTTCATCTCTCTCTTTTTGTTCTTAACTTATTTTTTTTTTTATCATTTATAAAAGAGAATATATTTTGAAGAAAGATTTTGAATTTACATTGCATCTTTTCTTTCACTTCTTCGAAAACTTTGATTTATTGAATCAAACTTTTTATTATCACATTAATCAAAGTTTCTCACCTCTTTCTTAAAACTTAATTTATTGCTATCACCCATTAAAAAAAAAATATTTTGAGAAGAATTTTGAACTTAAATTGCATTTAGTCTTTATGTGCTTGAATTTAGATAAATTCTTCAAAAAAGTTTTAAAAATCAATTCATCCACTTCTTGATTAGTTATTTTTGGGCTTTCAATGGTATCGGAGTAAGTTGCTCATTTCCGAAGATTTCACAATCTTAACTAACTATAATCTTCAAAACATTGAAGGATATTCTACAAATCGTCTTTCTTTTGTTAATGGCATACATTATAATTAATGAAAAGATAGAATGATGCTTTTTGTTCAATCTATAAATTATAATGATTGGAAAGTAATTGAATTTGGTTCCCATGTGACTAAAAAAGTCATTAAAAAGGATGGTATCAGATCAAATAATTTTTATTGACTTTAAATGTTAAAGCAAAAAAATCTACTTTATTGTGTTTCAGATAGAAATGAATTTAATCATATTAGTACATATAAATGCGCATATGATATTTGGCATACATTAAAGGTCACTCATATTGGTACTAGTAAAGTGAAAAAAACTAAAATAAATCTCTTAGTTAAAGATTTTGAAAATTTCTTAGTGAAGCAAAATGAACCGGTTGTTGATATGATAACTCGTCTTATCGATGTTGTTAGCGATCTTAAAGAATTTGATGAAAATTTACTAATTGTGAACTTGTGAGCAAAGTGTTTGTCTCTTTTGGAGAATTGAAGCTCGTTGAGAATGTTGATAGAAAACACTAAAAATATCAACAAGTATTCATTGGAAGAGTTCTATAGAACATTGATAACATATGAGCTAAATCGCATCGAAACAAATGAGAAAACAATGAAAAACAAAGAAGACGAAATGCCCCAAATTGCTTTAAAATCCATTATTGATGAAAGCATTTCGTGCAAAAATACGGAGAACTTGATGAAGAACTTGAAATTCGACATTAATTTCAATAGGAATGCGAAAACATGAAATATATATGAAATAAACGCCGACTTCATTTATTGACCGTCAATAGATCAATTTTTATCATCCATAGGCGATGACAATTGACTTAATTATTCGAGTAAAATTAAATTAAAATATAAATTATTCGATTGAAGAAAATTGGAATATGGAGTCCAATGATCTTATTGTGAATGTTTGAGAGAATCATAATTAACGTACTCTTGCCACGTCAGAATATGCTAGCGGGGTAATGTAATTTCAAGTTATTAACTTAGGGGAGTTATATTGACGCCTATATTTTTATTTGATATGCCACGTTATAATGAGAGTTAAACTCCTCAATTTTTGCTTAATGTAGCATTTATTTTCTTAATTTTTTTCGTCGAAATCTTATTTCAATTTTTCATGAATTAGTAGGTCTCGTTCTTCATGATGACTTATATTAACATATTTTATTTTCATGCGTTGAAATAAGAGAATTTTCTTCACTTTTTTTTTAAATATGATGAAAAAATAAGTTACTTTGCGACATTTCAACGTATTTTTGAACTTAAAATTGTTATCAAATACAAAATATATTAACTCATGAAAAGTTTGAGAATAAAATGAAAAATTGTTAAGGAGATATATGCTATAATGAACAAAGATTTAAAATATGAAATATGCTATTCATCTCCAGTGGGGATCTATGTGAATGTAAATGATTGGTGAAATTAAATGACTTATTTAATTTTACTTATCATTTAATGCCATATAGACTGAAAATGCATCCCACTGGAGATGAATAGCATTTCTCTAAAAATATTTATTGTAATTAAAAAGTAGTGCTAGAAATAAAAATTGTATCCAGCCGCAGACTTTTGTTATTGCCCTTTTTTTATTATTATATTATTTCCGCACCCAGCAGCAGACTTTTTGCCATTTTTCCTCATTTTTTTAAGATAGTTTCCAAAATTGTGTTCTTCTTTTCCATTTCTCCTCCTTCACCAAACCTCCATTCCCCCCTTCAATCCTCGAACAGTTAGGCACATTTTCATTTACAAAACTAAACTAAAATCCCCTACATTTAACCTAGAAGTCAGCCTTCATCCTACGGCCAAAATGGCTCAGTTGACTCGCCGGACCACCGATCTCTTGAAACCCTTCTCCGCCGCACTTTCCTCCACGCGCCTCCTCACCACCACCTCTACCACCCCAATCACCGTCGAGACATCTCTCCCCTTTACCGGCCACAAGATCGATCCGCCATCTCGCTCCGTCGAGACCACTCCTCAGGAGCTTATGAACTTTTTTCGCGACATGGCCCTTATGCGTCGAATGGAAATCGCCGCCGACTCTTTATATAAGGCGAAACTGATTAGGGGATTCTGTCACCTTTACGATGGTCAGGAAGCAGTGTCAGTGGGTATGGAGGCTGCGATTACTAAGAAAGACTGCATAATCACAGCATATCGTGACCATTGTATCTTCCTAGGTCGCGGTGGAACACTTCTTGAATGCTTTGCAGAGCTTATGGGGAGAAAGGATGGGTGTTCTAAAGGGAAAGGAGGCTCGATGCATTTTTACAAAAAGGATAGTGGTTTTTATGGGGGGCATGGGATCGTGGGGGCACAAATTCCATTGGGGTGTGGATTGGCTTTTGCACAGAAATACAGTAAAGATGAGAATGTGACATTTGCCATGTACGGTGATGGTGCAGCAAATCAGGGGCAGTTGTTCGAGGCCTTGAATATGGCTGCTTTGTGGGATCTGCCCGCTATTTTGGTCTGCGAGAATAATCACTGTAAGTAATGAAATGGCTATAGAGCTAGACTATTGGTGGGTATCTGTAATTATAGGTTGCGATTCCATGCGCAATTAGTTTTCATGAATATGTCTGTTCTCATGGAACAAGGCTGTGTGTTCCAATATTTCTGTTCTAAAAGATTAAATTATTAATATTGTTTTATCAGTTACATAATGACTAGGATGTTTCTGTATAGTTTGTGATTTGATTTTTTTTTCAGATTTATATTTGATGGTTTGGCGCCAATGTTTTGTAATTTTGCTGCAAGCATGTACCTGACTTAAAGATTGGGGTAATGGATGCAGTTAGTACGAATTGGGATGTGAAATTGTTATTTATGCAAATTAACAGTTCCCTGAGTAATTACACATCCATTCTAATGCAGTTGTGTATGATGTAGTATATGCCTTTTTTTTTATCAGTTTATGAGTTATTTTATGGAGATATCTGAGTATGAGTTGGGTGTATATAGTTAATAGTAGGATATTTGATTCTATCAATTGGATTGTTGCTGCAGATGGGATGGGTACAGCAGAATGGAGGGCTGCAAAGAGTCCAGCTTATTACAAAAGAGGGGATTATGTTCCTGGTTTGAAGGCAAGTTTATTGCTTGACGTTGATGTTAATTGTCTTTCATATTATCTGATATAATAAGGGATATATTTTCTCTACTAGAATGGGAAGGTATATAATTCTATAGGGGAGAGAATTTGGTAGAAATTTTGATTAATCTGTTTTCAATTTCAAGGCCTTATTTTATGCCGCTTTCCTAGTTAGGTGGTCTCTGTTCTCCTGAACTTAAGTCTGAAAGAAAATGTCTATCACTTTGTACTGAACTTTTTGCCAACAACATAGCGATAGCATTTCGCAGGCCATTTAACACTATTTTAAAGCTTTCGAACTCCGCTTCCCTATATTAAATTTTGGAGATTTTTTGAACAATTTCTCTTCTAGTGAAAGAATTGTTTCTTTCCTATGTTGTTTGTCATCTATTATATGGTTGCCTTTCATTGAACATTTATGTCTCGAAACAGGTAGATGGTATGGATGCCTTTGCCGTCAAACAAGCATGTAAGTTTGCCAAGGAACATGCTTTGAAGAATGGACCGATTGTGAGTGCATATTGATATTGGCATATTGATATCAAGATAATTCTTTTCTCTGTGATCCCTTGTCGTTGCTATGGCTATCTCACATGGATCCATTGACATCAACCTTTCTATCAGATAGTATGTTTACTTGCAGAAGCATGTACTGGAAGGATTTTGTGGAAGATGCTTGATGATAAATAACTTTTGCTATTATTTAATTCCAAGATTTGAAGAAAACAAGATTTTCATGATGAGGAATATATAACTCGAGTTTCATGCAATATTATTTTCTTCTTTCACAGTACCAGGCTATCTAAATGACACCTAATATATTGAGAAACAGAACTTGGGTTAGTTTGTTGTTGTATTACTCTTTGTATTTTACTAGATACCAGTCTTCATTTTCATTAGTTTCATGGTATGAAAAAACCCTGCCGAGGCCCGCCTCACTGTGATGCGCAGCTTCTGCGCCTCGAGGCTCAATCTGTGAGGTAAAAAAAAGAGGCGCGCCCCTCTACATCTGAGGCAAAAAAAAAAATGAGGAGTGCGTCTAATTTGAAGTACGTTTTTTTTTAGGTTTTTGAAAAAGAATTAAAAAATGCCCCCTTTAAAAAAGAGAAGGGCCCATTTAAAAAGATATTTTGGACCAAACAAAATATTAAAATATCTAGAATACCAAAAGGCAGCCAGAAATCCTTCTACAAGGCGGCAGACAGAAATCTTCCTAGATGGCGAGAACTAGACTTTGCTTGGCTTTTTTCTGCCTTCTTCTAGTGACTTACAATTTAAAATTGTTTCACTAGACTTTGCTTGGCTTTTTTCTTGTTCAGTGCATCGTCACCAGATTGCACCTATTTTGTTCAGCAGATTNTTCCTAGACTTCTCTTTATTGAATATATTTTTGTAAATTCGATATATTTGTGGACATGCTTTTTTTATTGATAAATTTGATTGATCGTACGCTTCCTGGGTACCTGGACTGCTGCCTTGGCAGTGAAGCAATAAATCTTATTCTAATAAACGAAGATAACCATTTATATTGATTTTGTGATTGATTTATCCTTTATTGATTTTTTATATACTGCAAAAGTTCTTGCAAGTTGCATATTTTGAGTTTTCCAGATCATCAGTGTTTAAACACCGGTGTTGTTAACACATAACTATTTCATTAAAATGATAAATGAATATAATGTTCTCTAATTTGGGTAATTCATATAGCGTGTCATATTTTAAGAACACCAGTTTAGTGTTTCTTATTAAGAATGTAGTGTCCGGCTTTTTATATATATAGAAAGCAATTCATGATAATCGTCTACTGACACAGAGAAAATCATACTTGAGCTTCACCTTTAATTGTCTTATTTCTGTTTTACACTTTACAACTTAATCATATTTATGTTACCTTGTCAACTATTCAAGTATCGGTTCCCCAGTGAAGATAATCTATATCTGAATAGACAAAATGGGAAGCGAGAGATGAGTTTGGAGAGAGAAGTGTCAAAATAATTTTATTATCAGCCTTCAAATTGCCAATGTAATGCATATACATTTATTGCTGGAAGCTTATATTTTCTGTTTGTTGAGTGTCCTCCCTTAGTCAACTTGGCATGGCATGTGCTACTCAGCTGTATCTTAAATATTTACTGATAAGCTGTATGTTTTTCTTTTTCTATTTATGTCATGTAACACATTAATCTTTTTCCTTGATTCTTTTCAGATCCTTGAAATGGACACTTATAGGTACCATGGGCACTCCATGTCTGATCCTGGCAGCACATACCGCACACGTGATGAGATTAGTGGCGTGAGACAGGTGGATTAATTATCAATGTTCTCTCTTGTGGGCGTGTAAATTGAAATTAAATATGTCTTGAGCTTTTGGTACGAAGTGTTAATTAGTATCTGCGTTTGTGTCCAGGAGCGTGATCCAATTGAAAGAATTAGGAAGCTTGTTCTATCTCATGATCTAGCCACTGAAAAGGAGCTGAAGGTAATGTGGAAATATGTTTACCTAATTTCCCAATTAGTTTCTTTTAGAGTATTCTTGACTCAAGTTATTGTAAACGAACTGAAGAGTGCGATGTGAGCTTTTCTCCTAACAAATCAATATTATTAAGAGATTTTTGGCTGTTCTTACTTTTTCTGACAGGATATTGAGAAAGAAGTGAGAAAAGAAGTAGATGAAGCCATTGCACAAGCTAAGGTGAGAATTTTTGCGTTGTTTTTTGTTTGGTTTTGGAGAATCTCGAAGAATACCTTTGGAAGTTTGTTTTAGTATTATTAATATTTTGTTTGGCTTTCCAGGAGAGCCCCATGCCGGATCCTTCTGAGCTCTTTACTAATGTGCATGTGAAAGGGTTTGGAGTTGAGGTATGTGTTTTCGTTTTTTTATTATATATTTTATTTTAGATGCTCTGCATTTTTTCTTTCTATCGTTTGACTGTTTAAGTTGACTTAATATGTTTCTTGGTTGCTGTGTAATTAGTTTACTATTTAGCCATGAGATAAATTTATGTAATTCTCTTTTCCCATTTCTGGAGTTGTGTATGTGTTTTCTTTATCTTACATGTCATGTCTGACTGTATTGACGGAGCATCAAGGATTCTCCTAAAACCTCCATAGGCTTTGTTGTTTTCCCTGTTAGAATGCAGTGTAGGAATGAGGTGGAATTAAACTAATGGGACAAGCAGAGCATGGTATTCATTTATATTTTCTAATAATTGATGACAATTTGGAAGGAGTCCTTTGCAGTAGTAATTTTTAGATTGGACGTTTCAACGTATTTAATTTTTTGTTCCCCAAATCTCGTGCAAATCATGTTTACAATCATTTAATCGTAAGTTGTACTGAGTTATTTCTATCTATATGAAGAAATTAAAAGAAATTAACAATTGGGCCTATGGCTAAGTCCATAGTCTTAATTGTTTAACTACTCCATAGGTTTTGATTGTTTAAGTGTCCTGAAGGCGTGTAATTAAATGAATCAAAAGATGGAACGTGGTAAGGCTTTGGATTCACATCGGCCCGTTGGTTGTATTCATCTGGAGAAGTTGTTTCTTGCTTGACTAAGGTATTTGAGGAAGAAACCATTTCAACCAAAAAGATGCCAACTAACTCAAATAAGGGTATGTTAATGCCCATTCAATGAATAATGGAGATATATAGGGCCGAACAAAACTCCCGACCGAACTAGACTTGAACCGAATGTTCGGTTCTTTTTAAGTTAAATATCCGAATTGGTATCAAAATTAAGAACCGACAAATCTGGTTCAATTTTCGGTTCTAGACCAAAAGCCAAAGAACCAAATAAGAATCGAATTTTCCATTATATTAAATAAGCCAAATTATTTAAATTTTTTAATGAAGTTTGTCACCTAATTAATTGAGCTCAAAAATATTGTTTTCCTGTTTCATTTGCCAACTAATTATGAGCCCAAAATATCATTTTCGTATTTTCAACCCAAGCCTAACTTTGTAATTCAAATTTAAAAGAATCAAAATTGAGTGATTTAAGTTATTCTTAATCATTCTGTCGTTTCCATGGTTTAAAAAGGCAATAGTGAGGTGCATGTAGTATGCCTCGAGGCAGGATTTTTTAAGCTGAAAATATGAGGTTCACTCCTCTCATGGAGCATGAGGCGTGCGTCTCATTTAAAATTTGATTTTTCAATTGTATGAAAAGAAATCAGAAAAGACCCTTCTTAAAAAAGAAAATGACCCATTTAAAAAGGCATTTTGGGCCTAAGCAAAACAATAAAATACCTAAAAAACTAAACGGCATCCAGAAATAGTGATGATAGTGCAAACTATTAGACTATTTTTTTTAGTTTAAGCAGCTGCTTTTTTTTCGTTGCAAATTGAGTGATTTTGAACTTTTGTAATGCTTTTTTTTTTTTTGNCTATATATCCTATTTACTATATGCTCGAACTTTGATTTTTTTGTATTTTTGTATTATTTTATAATTCTTTTACTTAGATTTTTTGTTTTTTGTGAGGCTTACGTCTCAATCCGCCTTGAAGCTTACGCCTCGCTTCATAAAGGAAAACCGCCTCAGTACTTAGTTTCGTCTTTTTAAACCTTTGTCGTTTCGCAAATAATCGAAGCTGGCGGCTGAGCCTTTCTTCATCTTACCCTTTTCTCCCCTATTCATTAAATTTCATCCACTTTGATCAAGATAAGCTTCATCTCATTGCTTTCTAATAATATCTCACACTTCAATGTATAAGCATTATAACTTATAACTAGTGTTCAAGATGTTTATTGTGAGCTCGTGCATTTGTGTGTTTTCCTTTGTCTTAATAGCTATATTCCTTTCTAATAAATTTTCAAGCTTCAATGTATAAACATTATAATTTATAACTATATGTTCAAGATGTCTATTGTTATTTGTGTATTTTTAAATTAGACTACGTTATTTTGTAAGATTTAATGTAGTGTTGTTGCAAGAGCTAAGATTGAATATGTCATTAGTTGGATTACTGTAATGCTGCTATAAATAGTAAAAAAATTAATTATGGTACGGAACCGAATAAAATCGAACCAGTACAGTTCCATAATAAAATTTAGGCCCAACGGTTCTACCTACAAAACACCCGAAAATTTTGGTTTGATTAAGTTGTGTTTAGAATCGAACTGAATCGGACCATATCCAGTCTTATATATATGTTAGAAGTTACAAAACGAAATCAAGCCGCGGTTTATACTTCTAGATTAATTTGAGAGAATTAATTTGGTCTTCTGAAACTATTTGATTTGTTAAGAAGACTAATGAAGCAATAGTCTTAGAATACAAAATGTTTTATAGTGGCCTAGTGATTCTTAGAAGTTAGAATACAAAGGACTCAAAACGAAGTACATGGATGTCGTTGGGGGTGCGCGTGAAGGGAATTTTAATCGGAGTGAGAAGTAATCAGAAGAATCTCGCGAGTTTTCGATTATTGCATGGTTGCATAAATAGTGTACTTTAATTCTGTATTTGTTTGTTTTGCATCAAAAAACAAGGAATTTAGGTGCACATTTTAACCTTTCCATTTTGCATTATATTTGTTCTTTTTTTTTGGGTGTATGACTTTGTGCTCTAGGATTAAGTTAAATTCACTGACCTTCTGGGGCAGTGCTTGCCTTCCTTCCTCCCTTTTGATCAACCTATATATCTATATGCATGTGTACGAATATGCAACAAAAAATATAAAACCCCTCGTGTTTTCAGTTGAAATTTAATTTTGGCATTGTCTTTTTTACTGGTTTTAAGTTTTTTTTGTTGATACTGAAGCTGCTTATATTTGAGGATAATCAGGTGGTAGGGAGTAAAGTTGACGTGCTAAAAGTGATAAGTTGCAGTATAGAGATTTGATATTATCAAATATATAATGCTTATAATTTAAATTTGACAAAAGCTGCTGATCTGAAGAATATAAATTCTTGTTTGATTTCACAGGCTTTTGGAGCGGATAGGAAAGAACTCAGAGCCGTGCTTCCATGAGTCAAATCAACAAGAAGCATACAAACTATGCTTCTCAGAAGCTTGGACGAACACGGATAAAACGTAGTTAACTCCGGAAATAATAGTTGCAATATGAGATTCTTCATGCAATTGCTTGGTTTTGCATGTTTTTTTTCGCACTTTGTTTTCTCCTGTGGAGATTAGGAATGATTCATTTTTGTTACTGTTGTTACACTGGTTGATGTAATTTTTTGCATTGCAACTGATAAATTGGGTTACATTGACCCTATCAACTCTGAATGTATTGACGTGAGGTTTGGCTCGCCTCTAGCACAAATTATATGCTTCCAAGGATTTTGCAGTAGACCTTTTTTTATTTTTTACAATTTTTTGTTAAAGCTTAGCCATACATGTACATGTAGACATAACTCTTGTTAATATCCATGATGTGTCTTTGCAAAACGCTTTATATAATATACCTATGCATGATTGAGGTCTGCAGGTTTTCTTTTTGAAATCGTGTAAATAAGGGGATTTTCACTGTTGCGTGATAGCACATGGAGTAAGACAGCTGTGATGCGCATCTGTGAGACTGTGCTGGTCTATGTTTGACTACTGTTCCCTAGTCTCCTGAAGAGGGATTGGCTCTTACCTCCTTGTGCCTATCTAGAACGAGGAATGGCCGGACAACCAGTTTAGATATTAATGACAAAGAAGTATTGAATTCTCTTTCGGATAGGTCTTAAAAGGAGAAGGAAGGTTGAAACGTCAATAGGCGTCTATTATTGAATTCATTCAATCCAATAGTGCCCTAGCATGTGTTGCAAATTATTATTAATCATAGCAGTTCTCATCGGCTTTGGAATCATGCTCCACATCGTTATTTCCTCAATTGATATAAAATTTCTTGTCATTTTTGCTTCTTTATATATATATATATATATTCATCATCATCCTGGCACTCCTATCAACTTTGACTTAGACACGTAATGAATCTAGAAAATATTATTTGTATGTTTGAAAGCACACCCTATAACTGAAATTCTACGTGGCATAAAATTTTGATCCTAACCCACAATTGTCAATTGTCAATTAACATCTCAACAAATCGTAGTAGCTTATAATTTAAAGACCTTTATGGGACATGCCATCCACCAATAAACTTTTAAGCCTCACAGACCATGAATTTTAAAGAATATGTGATTAAAATTTATGTTTATCCAATTTATAAACACTACCAAACAAGCAAGAATGAATTACGGTCCGAACTCTAGAAGTAGCTCACAAAGGTCGTCATTTATAGTATTTCCCTCTGAAAAAGTGAAACAAAACAATGAAGTAAAAATTGTTAAACTTAACCTCCAACCAGAACTGGCATATGGAAGCTCTAATAAAGTTACTACTTTACTCATAAGCATATGAACTTTAACATAAATAAGTTAGTTGATTAGCACTAAAGTGATGACCCTTTCATCTAAAAAAATTTAGTGGAAATTGCAAGAAATTGCAAGAAATGTCCACTTTCTTCTAACTACTTGCAAAAATGGCAACTTTCAAAAATCCTTGCAAAAATGGCCATTTTGGTATATTTTAGACCAAAATACCCATGGTCAACAATTTATGATTCCATTCANTAATATTGTGATTTGACGTGTGTACTATTTAAATATAAAATGAGATTCAAATATCAAGAACGGCATTTTAAATGTCGAGAATACGTAGAGATTCAAGTGTTCTTTTTTCATTAAAAGCATAATAGACATTTTAGTATTAAATTTAAAAATTGAATACTTTTCAACTCACACCCTTAATTGTGATCATTCTTGAAAATACCCCGAAAACTTATCAAGAGATGCTCTTGGCGCCGGATTTAGAACAAAAACAAAGTATTTAGTGAAGAAAAGTAGTTGTCTTGTACTTGAATTCCCTTGTGGCAGTGAATATAATACTGTGTAGACAAACTGCTACCTTCTGATTGGTGCAGTGTATGTGGGCCAATAGCACCTCATCCAAACCCGTGTGCCTATGCCATTGTTTCTATTGAGAATCCTATGCAACAATACCACCTGCTCCCCCCCGCCCCCCCAACTCCCCACTGTGGATTCTTTATTCGATACCTTTATTTAAATAATTGTTAAAAAAAATAAAAAGTACTTGACCTAACTAATAAACTAGTATTTGCTTCGCTGAGAACATGGCGCGCGAGAATTATTAAATTTGTATTATAACTCATTATTTCGTTCTTGTTCAAGAATTTTGAAATGGGAATTACGATCATAAAAACGTTGATTATGAGATATTCCAAAGCTAATTAAAAAAGGGTTAAATTAGCGTCATAACACAAGTATCTTTTACTTAAAAGATTTGTCTATAAAAAAATCTCAATAGAACGTTTCCTTTTTTTTTTTTTTCCTTCACATCTAAATACATCATCTTTCTTAACTAATCTTTTGTTATTGTTGAAAAAGTGAACAAAAATTGATATCAACTTACCCCAGGTAGATAATGCATTTATAAGAGAGTTGAGTTCATCTACCTAATGGGACTTCAATTGACGCGGTAAGTAATTATAGAATACACTGAATCTCATAGAAAGATTTCTTTACTTAAAAGATTTGTCTATAAAAAAATCTCAATAGAACGTTTCCTTTTTTTTTTTTCCTTCACATCTAAATACATCATCTTTCTTAACTAATCTCTTTGTTATTGTTGAAAAAGTGAACAAAAATTGATATCAACTTACCCCAGGTAGATAATGCATTTATAAGAGAGTTGAGTTCATCTACCTAATGGGACTTCAATTGACGCAGTAAATAATTATAGAATACACTGAATCTCATAGAAAGATTTCTTTAAGGAATTACTTCTTTCAGATAGAAGTTTCAAATAAGTCATATGAATCAATTTACAAGTCCAATCCCAATATCTTGATTTCGACTAGCGCTACCAATAAAAAAATATTCTTGTGATGGGATCTGTGCCTGGTCAAAAATAAATCTGAAAAATGTCTTCAGTGCTTGGCTTCAAACTCTAGTCATGAGGACGCGCAAGATGAATTTCAATTGCATCTGAACAAAGCTATGGACTCTAATCAATCATGATGGTGTAAAAATCCGTAGTAGTAGGCTCTTAAATCATGATGGACATTGCATACAAGAAAATGAAACTTTAGCAACGACAATTTCGTAATTAAAATCTCACAAAAATCACGTCAGATCAAAACTAATTTGTCATGAACTGTCTCTAAATTGGTTCGACACATTCAACCCATACGTCATCGAACTGATTCCCTCCATAAGTAATTGAAATCAAATTACTAAAACTACAATTTTTCTTCTTGAGCCCTATTTTTAACTCCCACCAAAACAAAATTTTTTATTTTTCATATTCATTTTCAATTAGATATTCACACAATAAAACATTTTGCACGTAAATTCAAAATTTTTTCTTACTTTTTAATTATACACTCTCCAAAAAGTTACTATTCAAAATATTATTTTCTCTCTGACGAAGCTAAAAGCCATAATTTATAAAGGGTAAAGCCACTTAGTCAGGGTGAAAAACAAGAAAAGGAAAGACAGACTGATTTATTAGAAAATGATTAGCCGTTTTTGTTTTAAATTTTCAAAATGTCCAACCAGATTTCGACACGTGTCCCACCTAGATTTGAGCATGTATTGGGCTTGGATTTGTAGCATGATTCATTTATAAATTTATCAGAAAATTTGTAAGAAATTTCAATCTTTTAGGCCCTGTTTGATTGGTATTATTTTCCAAGGAATTAAGAAAATATTTTTCACTTTCCACTTTTTCGACTGTTTGATAGGCGAAATTTTCCACCTTTAGCCCATACGTGTGCATTTTTCAACTTTTTGATTAAAATTTTTTTCCAACCTTTCTGGCTGGAAAAATTATTTCTTTTTTTCAATAAAAACAAATTTCATAACCAATGGTAAAAAAAAAATTCACTTTAATGGACAATTTCTATACAAAACAAAATCAAACGAACAATAAATTTTGATTAAAAAAAAAAATTTTAGAAAAAAAAAATTTTCCTTTTTTTTTTTACTTCTTGGCAATGGAAACAAATTTTATAACCAATTGTGGAAAAAAAATCACTTTAATGGACAATTTTCATGTAAAACGAAGATAAACGAATAGAAAATTTAAAAATTTTTCGGGGTGGAAAATTATACCAATCAAACACACTTGAAATTATTTTCCCTGTAAAATATTTTTTAGGCAAATTTTTTCTCTATAAAACATTTTCTTTCCAACTATTTTTCACTCTTTCATTCAAACGCACCTTTAAGTCAATCCTAGGCAAACAGGGTGTTGGAAGAATAGAGAACACGTGATCATGTGGCACCAGTGTTATGCGCCAGATTGATTTCAGCCGTCAACATCAATCACAATTTACAATACTTAACCCAGCTGGCACTCCATCAATGCTTCCAGCTGGCTGAACCATTGCTGCAAGGAATGAATATTCCTTTAAGCCCCCGTTTGACACCCATTTTTTATTTCATTCTTATTCTCATTTTTCTACGGTACTCATTTCTAACCACACATTCTCCGAATAAAATAATATTACACATAAATTCAAAAATTCTTCTTACTTTTTAACCACACATTCTTTAAATCAATCACTATTTAAAAACTCATTCTTCAAAAGAATGGGTGCCAGACACCCACTAATTATGCTAAAAAAACATGCTCAATGACAAGCATTGTAACACAAGACAAATTTTCATTTGCAGTTAAAAAAAAGTTAAAACAAAAAGCTGTCTATGAAAAACTGTCAAATCAGTCTGTCAAAATATAGCACGTCATTGAGCTTGTTCAAACAACATTATTCTTTTTCGTTCTCGATAACAATTCATTTCTTTCAGCCCATCGCCTAACCTCTTTTTAATAAGACTACTTGTGCATCCAAATATGTACACTTTAATTGACACTTATATATTAAAAATTTAACTATTGATTGAAGGATCATGCTACATATATATAAATATTGACACTTTGATTTACATCTTGGT